CCAGTGCCTGAAGGGGCTCCAGGAAAGCTGGGGAGGGACTTGGGCCAAGGGCAGGAGTGATGGGACCAGGGGGGATGGCTTGAAACTGGCAGAGGGAGCTGGAGGTTGGACCCGAGGAGAAAATTCTTGTCTGGGAGGGTGGGGAGAGCCTGGGCCAGGGAAGCTGTGGCTGCCCCATCCCTGGAAGTGTCCAAGGGCAGGTTGGATGGGGCTTGGAGCAACCTGGGCTGCTGGGAGGTGGGCCCGCCCCGTGGGTCTGGGTGGTCTTTAGATCATGGAATGGTTTGGATTGGAAAGGACCTTGAAGACCACGTAGACGTTCCACTAGATGGTCTTCAGGGTGGTTCCTCCATCCCTGGAAGTGTCCAAGGGCAGGTTGGATGGGGCTTGGAGCAACCTGGGCTGCTGGGAGGTGTCCCTGCCCATGGTGGGGTTGGATCTAGATGAGCTTTGAGGTCCCTCCAATCCAAACCATCCCATGAATCTCTACAACAACAATCTGAAGATCCAAAAGGAGACTGACTCAATGTCACCCTCCCCAAAAACCCACCAAATCCCCTCAAAATGATCCCCTGGCTCCTCCTGGCAGGAGGTGGGTTTGGGGTACCTACGTTTCAGGCCTGTGCTGGCCTTCTGGGGTGGGATGTGCTGCACCACTTTAGTTCCCCCAAAAATGATGTGTAGACGAGCATCTGCCTGCATGTCCAGGACGTGATCTGGATTCAGATCCTCCACAGGTTCCTGAAGGACAAGGAGAAGACTCAGAACCACCAGGAAACCTCATGGATTCCTTCCTGCTCTTGTGCCATCAAGCTGAAGTTGGCTTGAACTGAACCCCAGACCTCATTTAGGACCTGGTACCTGTGGATATTTTGGGGTTTTTTGGGGATTTGACACCTGGAATTTTGCAAGGGAGGTGATTTTAGGGTTTTTTAAGTCACCCACTGGTAGATAAAAAAACAAGGAGGAACATTCCAGGTTTTCAAATGTTTTGATACTTGTTCCTCCTCCTTCCACCTCTACCCACAGCCAAAGGAACCCAGCTTGGGAATGTGTGGGAGGGAGAGGACATGTCCAACCCCTCCTTGAAGTTCAGACCCAAAGGTGGAGACTTTGCCAGACAAAACCACCATTTTCTGCTTCTCCTTGACCAGAAACCATCAATCACAACCAAGAAGCTACAAGAGAGAGACCAGATGGTTCAGGTCAGAACTTTCCCAACACAGAGATGCGTTTGGCCTGGAAGTGGTTGGAATTTTTTGGCTTTCCCAAGGTTTTAAGGCAGGGAAAAGGACAGAGGGGACTTCCCAGACCTTCATTTGTGGAACAGACTCTCCTGTCAACATGGCCTCATCCACGATGCACCGGCCACGCAGCAGCAACACGTCACAGGGCACCAGGTTCTCATGAGGAGATCGACCTAAAAGGAAGAGATTTCCATGAAAAGCTCCAAGGTTTGAGTGATTCTTGAGATGTTGGTCTGGTGGGAGCCAGTTCTCCTTCAGTTGAAAAAGAGAGACACAGGAGGCACCTGAAATTTCAAGCCCCACCAGCACAATGTGGAGTCACTGGGCAGCAGTGAGAAGGCTGGAAGACTTTTTAGGTCTTTTTAGTTGAAATTTGGATCCAAAGAATTATTTGGAGAAGTAAAAGCTTGGGGAGGAGAGTATGGTGGGAATGGAGCTGGGGGAGGTGGTCAACAGGGGTTGGATGTCAACCAGGGTGTGCCCAGGTGGCCAAGAAGGCCACCAGCATCATGGCTTGTGTCAGCAGAGTGTGGGCAGCAGGAGCAGGGCAGGGATTGTCCCCCTGTGCTGGCACTGGGGAGGTGACCCCTCACAGCCTGGGGACAGGTTTGGGTGAGGAAAGGGACATTGAGGGAGTGGAGAGTGTCCAGGGAAGGGCAGTGGAGCCAGGGAAGGGGCTGGAGAACATGGAGCTGGGGCTGGAGGACGTGGAGAGGGGCGGGAGGACAAGGGGAAGGGGCTGGAGAACATGGAGAAGGGGCTGGAGGACAAGGGGAAGGGGCTGGAGAACATGGAGAAGGGGCTGGAGGACAAGGGGAAGGGGCTGGAGAACATGGAGAAGGGGCTGGAGGACAAGGGGAAGGGGCTGGAGAACATGGAGAAGGGGCTGGAGGACAAGGGGAAGGGGCTGGAGAACATGGAGAAGGGGCTGGAGGACAAGGGGAAGGGGCTGGAGAACATGGAGAAGGGGCTGGACAATTCCTTCCTGGCAAGGGTTGTCAGGGCCTGGCCCAGGCTGCCCAGGGCAGGGGGGGAGTCCCCATCCCTGGAGGGGTTTCCAAGCCCTGGAGATGGTGCTGAGGGACATGGGGCAGTGGGGGCCTTGGCAGGCCTGGGGGTCATGGTTGGACTGGATGATCCTCAAGCTCTTTTCCAACCAAAACTCAAGAGTTTGGTGACTCTGAAGTCATTTTGGTCTCAGAGCTGCTTAGAGATAAGGCCCCTTCACCACATCCTGGGTGTGAAGGAAGGAGCTGCCCTTCCCCTTCCTGTTCTAGAAAGATCCTGTCAGGAGGGGACCCCTCAACTGAACAATCTGAGGGTGATTTTTCCAGGTATCCACCATTTATTTTTTTTTTAACACCAGGTCCCAAAAGATCCATCCCAAAGGATTCATCTCTTGGAACCTTGAATCCTGAGTCCTCCAAACTCCCAAAACCAGGTTTTTATGCCCACTCAAAGTGATTTTCATTTAAACCCCCCCAAAAAGCCTCCTTTTGGTTCAATCCATGATGGAATTCCTTACCAATGGATACAATATCCCCGGGAATAATCTCATCGCTGGAGATCGAGCGCCACTTCCGGTTCCTGTAAACCTGGAAAAGGGAAGGAAAACCCCATTTTTGGAAGATCTAGATGTGCCAAAAACAAGCTTGTAAGAAAATTATGGAAACAAGGGATGAGCCAGAAAGGGAAAAGGAACAAAGTGTCATTCCCTCTGGCTGGAATCACCTGGATCATGTAGGGTTTGTTGCCCATCTTCCGGATCTCCGACATGTTCCTCATCTGTTGTTGGACCAAGGAGGCTTCGAAGGCCACGAGCATGGAGAGGGTGAAGACACTGTAGTACCAGTACTCATCCAGGCACCACAGCCCCACGCAGAACACCTGGAATTCCAGGGAATTCTGGGTCACCTCCAAGTGGGGGAGGCCAAAAAATACCCCTCGGAGGAGCGGAGATGGAGGAGACGCCGAGTGGGTTTTGGAGGGAACGTTCCCCGAGGAGGAGACGTTCCCCGAGGAGGAGACGCCGGAGGGATGAGCCCGATTTGTGACAGGAATTTGGTCTTTTTTATTCAGGAATGTTGTCCCTTTTTAGTCAGGAATTGTGTCTATTATTCAGGAATGTTGTCCCTTTTCTACTGAGGAATTTTGTCCCTTTTTTTATTTAGGAATTTTCTCTTTTTTTTACTCAGGAATTTTGTCTCTATTTTTTAGGGAATTTCGTCCCTTTTTTATTCAGGAATTTTATCCCTTTTTTATTGAGGAATTTTGTCTCTATTTTATTGAGGAATTTTGTCCCTTTTTTATTGAGGAATTTTGTCTCTTATTTTTTAAGGAATTTTCTCTCTTATTTACTTAGAAATGTTGCCTCTTTTTTATTCAGCAATTTTGTCCCTTTTTTTACTCAGGAATTTTCTCTCTTTTTTACTCAGGAGTTTTGTCCCTTTTTTTACTCAGGAATTTTATCCCTTTTTATTCAGGAATTTTGTCCCTTTTTTACTCAGGAATTTTGTCCCTTTTTTACTCAGGAATTTTGTCTCTGTTTTTAAAGGAAAATTCTCTTTATTTAGGAATTTTTTCTCTTTTTTATTCAGGAATTTTGTCCCTTTTTTTTCAATAATTTTCTCCCTCTTTTCTGAGGAATTCTCTCTCTCCTTTTCAGGAATTTTCTCCCTCCTTTCCAGGAATTTTCTCTCTCTTTTTAGGTATTTCCTCTCTTTTTCTAGGAATTCCCTTTTTTTTCAATTAACTTGGGACAATTGCAGGAACCAGAAAAC